CGAATAGGAGGCTCAAGGATCGGGGTGTTCAGAGGAATATAAGGTCTTCAGGGGAAGCGAACAGGGCTGTGTATTAAAAACACAATAACCATGACCTATCATTGAACGTATTTTCACATCTCCCTCCCACATAGTGACAAGATGTTTCAAACATGCTTTAAAGAGCATTATGAAACATCCCCTTAAGAAGCTGTCTCTGTGAGTACAGAACCAAATAGCTACACTGAGAAAAATTGTGCCTTTCCTTTTATACACACATGATCACAACAGAGAGAGAGAGATGTGCATATTGTGATCTTGTAAAGACAATTTAGTGTAGTACTTAGGAGTACAGAATGTGGAACCAGACTGGCTAGGTTTAAATTCTGACTCTATTGCTTGCTAGATCTGAAGCCTGGGCAAATTACTTAACCTTAACCTCTATGATTCATCTGTAGAATAAGGATAATAACGGTGCCTGCATATGAAAAATACACAGAATGTACTTAACACAGTGAGGGGTACCTGGTTAGTGCTCTTTGATTGTTTAACATCGTTTTATAACAAAAATCTGTCTTATGAGCATTATTTAGGCACTGCTGAGTGTAAGGCAGTATGGAATTTGTCAAGGAGGTTGGGGAGAAGGGACATGGTGAGGGTTCACTGAGCATGGCAAAGGGGCACTCTAGTACCTAAAAGCTTAGTTAATGGGAAGGGTAGGTAGATAAACTAAAAACCGAGTGATTTTAATCGAGACCTTTTAACCTAGCAAATGCAGATTCCAAAAGTAGCAAAATGGATTGGTTAATGTCTATACCCATTTCTTTTCACGTCCTCACTAGAAAGGCAAACAGGAATTGAAACATGCAGAAAGCGCCTACAAGAAGAGGAACTGACGGCTGTGGTTGTCTTGATCCTTTCTGTACTCAACACATAAATGCTTCTTCCCCTCCAGGCAGTCAGTCGGTAAGAATTGACAGATACTACTAGGTGCTCAGCATAAGCTCTGAGGGGTACAAAAGCCGTTTACCCTCCCACAGTTCCTATCCGGCTTGATAATCAGATCTAGAAGGGAGAGAAGCTCTACACACATCAAATAACTGGAAACCAACACTTGATCGCCTCAATCAGGACACCGGCTCTGCGCGAAGTCAGGGAAAGTCCAAGCTCTTGCCCTTCACACCGGAGTGATCACACCTGGATCTGCATGAAGACGGGTCCCCCATTTCTGGAGTCCTGCTTGAGTCAACTGCGCATTCCTTGAGTTCCCTGGGCTGGGGGCTGGGGG